ATATAGTACATTAAGTTCTAACGTTCATGTCAGAATAATTCAAGCTTCAACCATCCTTTTGTTTTTTTCCAGGTGCACCAAGAATACAACCCTTTATGTTTCCCACAAATCTTAAAGTGGGTGAAAGTGTGAAAGTAATATGTACTGCAGTAGAAGGAAATCAACCTCTCACGTTCCAGTGGTTTAAAAACGGGAAGCATATCCCGTCGACTGCTCGTGTTTCCGTCAAGTCTTACGATGGGTTTTCGGTGCTCGCTATAGATGACGTCATTCTGGAGAGTAATGGAAATTACACCTGTAGCTTGAGTAACCAAGAAGGTTCGGACCAATTCACTGCGTCCCTAGTTATCCATGGTAGGTTTGTTTTCAAGGAGCTTCTCTAATCGACGGCCTAGATTGAGCGCGAAGTAGCATGAAAGCCCAGCCTGATTTACGGTTAATCAACCAACCATAAAACTTAACATTTTTATAATATGGAACACATTTCTGGTTTGAATTAAGACAAGTTAGCAAGTATTGTGAACTTTTCTCGTGAGAATGTAAAATCGCAAAGTCCACACTTTCTAGCTCAAGCAAAAAAATAATAAAAAATTACATGTACATATACGATAGATGAGGTTCTGTTCTCTTCTTATTAACTTACTGTACATTTATTTACATACCAACAAAGCTTGGCACAGTTTCAGGACTGTAATCAATATTAGTATGGCGTTAGGTTTTTGTTAATATTGTTTTCCTTTTATTAACTTGATTGGGGAACAAAATTCTCCATGTTCTGTAGTAGATCACTTTCCAGGTTTGTATAAAACTTACTGCGTCAAACTTATAATATGATTTATTCATAATTGTTGTTTTCTTCTTATTATTATTATGCGAGTTTTAAACAAGATTTCGCGAACTCTATGACAAAGCTAGGCTTAAGTTATGTATAAAACTATTGATAATTAAGATATTTACGATATATAAAAATTCACTCATTTTATTGTTAGTTTGTTGGTAGCCGTTCATAATAAATCGGCTCAGCATGGGCAGGTGGTTAGGGCGCTCGACTCGCAATCTGAGGGTCGCGCGTTCGAATCCCCGTCCCATCAAAACATGCTAATAAATCGGCTCAGC